ATATATATGTATATATACACACACCCAAAGAGTGTTTATATATATTTTAAATATTTATATATTTATTGTTTAATAAGGGAATTAGTTTTCATTAGATCTTTTTTATATTTAGAATTAGTATTTATGGATGCAAAATTTAAATTTATATAGAATATATAGATCATTGACCTGATATAAAAAAGTATTCTTAGTGAAAGTTGATGCAGTATTAAATTGAATCATAGATATTTCATGATCACATTTGAATGATTAGGGGGTATTAGGTATGCATATTAATTTTGTGTCCTTTACAGCTTGCCCGGGTCAATGCCATGCGCCAAGAACGGCATCGTCAGTGGATTATGGGAGAACGGTCAAGTGAAAACCATTATGCACCAGCAGCTAGAATTGATGGCTATTAAAGTTTTTCAATGTAGACAATTTATTTATATGATGCTTTCTTTGCATCATGTACAGTAAAACTGAAACAAATTTCAGGAGATTTTGTTAAATTCAGTATTTGATTAGGGCTATATTACTGCATTTATATATATATACACACACAAACATATACATTTATATATATATATATATATATATATATATATATATATATATATATTTGTATTATTGTGTGTGCGTGTGTGCGTGCACATTTATCTATATATATAATGTAGTTACAAAAGGTTTTTTGATTTGCCATTTTTAAGTTGCTATATCCATCTGCACTTACATGTAGGTCCAAGCATCCCCAGTGAAACTGCAGTTTTGTCTAAAGAAATACCATTAAAATGTACATTTTGAAATGTAGACTGGTGTAAATATTGAAGTTAAATAAAGAGTTGGTAACATGAAGGCTTTTCATATCCTCGTTCAGTGGAAATAATTAGATATCTTGGTTATCTGTCGCCTTTGGTAAGAAGTACCTATGCCGAATCATAAGATACAGTTGGCAGGACATTGTCTCCAGCTGACTCGCATGGGACCTGTGACTGAATAATCTGTGACCGCCAACTCTGGCCAGATGGGCTGTGTAGAGAAGTCCTGTGGGACGACTTAGGAAGCCATGGCTTGAGCAGATCAATCAGACCTGTCATGAACTAGAGATGAGTCGAGGATCTGCAAAGTGGATCGCCATGAGGAACCCATGTGGCTGAAAGTTGGATGCGACTATGTGCCCCCAACAGAGTTGGCTCCATTGAATAATTAAATGATTCATTTATTGGAATAACATCTGTCATCCTGCCTTCGAAGCATACAGTTTGAACGAAACGGCTTGTAGCATGATAATTGTATTTTTTATGTGATGTATCATGAAAAAGTGGTATGCATATAAACTGACACGTCTATTTTTTACAAACATCATGTAGAATGTCAAGGGATAACACACATATATATATATA